CCATTCCCATCCTTTACTAATTCCTATATAATTAATTAAATATCTTATATAACGTCCTCAATTCTTTATTTATATATGGCTTAATATAAGAGAGTATATTAGAAGGTTTTTTGCATTATTATAATAATACTTCTTATTAAATTTTCTTTAGGGTAAGAATTAGTAACTTGCATTTAATGGGGTAACAAGCCTAAATTTGGGTACCTAATTCTTGGGGCAAAGAATCGCTCACACCATATAAATATTCAATTATAATTTAGGTACTATTCGAATTTTCAATTATAAAAACTCGTATATTAATCGAATTCGCTATTATATAGTAAACTTTATGCCTCCTTTTAATTAGCTAGCTACTTCTTGCCTTACTAATAAACGCTATCTTGCCTTTGCATCTTATACCTTTGGTTTTGCTCCATTAATTCGATCTCAAAGGGTTTCGTATGCAATTCCATACTCTCGTACATTTCCCAATGGATTTAGTCTTCTTGTAGTCGAGATATCATCGTGAGCCGTCTATAATCGCACGCTCCCTGAGAGCTCGTTGGGATTGTCCGCGAATTCGGTATGGTGATATTTCTTTACAGACATGTTGAGGGGCTAAAAAAGCTTTAGAAGACAGTTGATTTGATAGTAAAATATTATGTGGGTGTTGAATTATGATTTTTGGAAAACAGCGATTTTGGGCGGTTGGGTGGTCTGGGCGGTTGGCCAGTGAAACCTTCTAGTGAGGCAACCTCCAAGTGGAACCGAGCGGTTTAATCCGCAGAGCCTCAACCCCAAATTTCCCACTTATCCTCCCATTCGCCACAAGCTGTGGTCCCAAGACGTGGGATACCAAGTCCTCAAGAACCGCCGGCCCTCCACACCCTCGATTCCGATGAACAAAAGGGGTAAAATTGTGCTTCCATTAATCCAGAACAATTCCACTAGATGGGCTGCCTCTCAGCCGCTATCGTTGGGAATCCACGGCATTCTTGAACCTCATGTTCCAGTCCCAATCGCTCGATACACCCTGCCGAACTGCACAACACCCTTTCCAAATATCCGGCATCTTATTCCTTTCAAAGGCGCCTGCCATTGCCACAACAGCCCTCCGTGTTGGCCTTCGAGTCCTCTCCCAGCGCCTGTGGGTAGACGTCAGTCTGCGACTTCCCATTGCGCCATCCCCATTCTATTCCAGCGAGCTAAATCCAGAACCCAAAAATGAGCAGCAACCAAATCAAACGCCATTCCAGTAACCCAAGCTGCTCGGCCTTGATCTGTCTGGCCATACTTCAGCGGACTCTTCGCGCCTTCCGCTTTGACCACGACCGAGATGAGCCAAATTTTCTCGATCGAATACTATCCCATTGCCTCTTGCTAGTATCTCTGTTACTCTGGATGAGATGCTGACGCTGTAAGTCCCACGCCCTGATTCTCAAGATGCCAACCCCTTTGCGGCAGACTCTCCATATATTTCCTCTCTGCAGACGCGCGTCCGACCTCGAATCGACAGGACCCTCTCCACGACCCATCTGCACACGATTTCAATCGACCTCTGGATTTTCTCGCGCCAGCAGTCGCTGCAGATTGGAGGCGCGCGCTTACATCCACGAGGCGGGGACTCTGCTCACATCGGGACCACCATTTCCTATCCTGAACAACTCCTAGTCGCAGCCAGGGCGCAGACTCTTCATCACATACCACAGCGATACTACACATGCTAACCCAATCGTATCCACATCTCGGTACAGCATAATCTCAGCCCCACATCGAGGCCCTCGCAGCCCAGGGCAGACCTAAACCAACTCGTCATTCCATTGATCACTACGATTGCTCGAAATATAGGGTATTGGGAATGGACCGTGTTTTGGGCACAAGGAATGGAGGAGATCAACATCGAAAGCAAGCATACCCAAGCAGATGATGCTGTAACAGACCTTCAATTACCATACAGATTCATACTTTACATATCACATTTCATTTATGATACGAAAATGCTCTACTACCCAGACCCCAGTAACATCTTCCTACGCAACTACTTCATGAAGCAATATCCTCCATTGAGGACATCTCCATTGAGAACGTATCTCCATTGAGAAACCGTCTTTATTAAGAAACTATCTTTATTAAGAAACTATCTTTATTAAGAAACTATCTTTATTAAGAAACTTATCTCTATTAAGAAACCATCTCTATTAAGAAACCATTTTTATTGAGAAACCATCTTGATTGAGAACCCATCTCTATTAAGAAACTATCTTTATTGAGATATTATTTCCAGTAATTATCTCCACTGAGAAACCCTCTCCATTTAGAAACCATCTTCATTAAAGGCACCCTTATCAGGGAAACATTGCTACGCCGATCTTCCTGGTCCTGACTTTTCTAGACTGCCACCCTTACAATCTCCAATAGAATCACCCTCACTGGTATTGCCATCTTCTTTACCTTTTTGCCACTTCAGAAAACGCTGGTGAAGATTCGACCACTCGCTCTGTGAGATAGCTGCTTCTCTCATCTCCGCAACTGTTGGTTTTGTCTGGTTACGGGCGTGCACTGCTTTCTGATTTGCTTGACTAAGCGCGATTATGGTCTTCAGCGCAACCCTCTGGATCGCTGAAATCTCTGCAAGAGACGTTTTAATTGTCGACCCTATCCCATTCTCCCTGTCGACAAGATCCTAGTAGACTTCCGAAGCTTCAATTTGACCCTGAAGCTTCTCTTCTGATTTCCTGAGGTTGGCTGTTGTCCACGACTTGTGGATGAAGATCTGCTTCAGGGCTTCCCCGAACTTTTCCGGATCTGCCCTTGCTGCCTTGCCTCCTGGTTGCACCTCGTTCAATCCACTGTCCCAGATTATGGATCCTGAGAGCATGGCGATCATTATCTCTGCCAGCTTCAACTGGTTTGGTTTCCAAAGCTTAACAATCGGTAGGCATACTGATTCGAAGCGTATCTTCAACTTCTTCAGAGAGCTGGGTGAATTTGCAAAGATACGGATGTGCTAGTCTGATTGCAGAAGCTCGATCAATTAAAAAACCCTGAGCAGAAGCCGACTACTTCAAGTCGCTTTCTTATTCCTATCTTCACACTCAAAGAATCCTCCGAGGATCAAGCGTTAGGAGAAATAGCTAATCGTTGAGGCGGTTTGAGATGACATTTTGGCCAATCTAATGACACTTCAAAAGTCTAGGCTTTGATGCAGCGATAATTGAACTTGCAGCCCGAATTATGGCTCCACGTTACGCGGTTATATTTCTGAGTGTTCTATTGAGCTCGTTGGAGACACATGTCCGAATAGGGGTAATATTTATCTTGTCCAATTAACACGAATGCAGTGCTAACTCGAAAACTGTTCCACGCCAGAGGACGCATGTGTTTAAAGACCACTGATCATAGAGCACATCGAACGTGCCCAGAAAATGGTGTTTCCCATCCACGCTGTAGGGTTACGCTCGCTTAGCAATGTTGACTTAAAACTCCAACCTCATACAACATCGACACTCGGATCCGACAACCTTAATCAAACTCCTCTCACTCGTAACAGTGGATGCCATATTCCAGACCCTACTCATGAGATTCTTCTCGCCGAAAGACATTACGGCAGCGCATGTTCGCCGTTGAAGGATGTATGATCCCGTGACTAAAAAAAGCCTGCATTAGTTCTTCATCAACCCCGCACCCCGCGTCGGAAGCTTCCGCGATCCATCACTTGCGGCTCAAAACCCGCCGCTTACTTTGACGACAATTGCCTTCAGCATCAGTATTTTTGTGATCAAATAGAACATATGCAAACAATATTGCCTAGAACGCGATCAAGTTTCATCGTATCTGCCCGAATTGGCTTGGAAATACCATTGTTTCGTATAAAATGAAAGTACAAGGTGCATTTTTCACGATCTTGGCCAGCCCTCTTGCATTAACTCTTGCTTGCCAATCTGTGCATTGTTGGGCACATATGATGGGATGGAGGCCCTGTCTCTACACATATCTCGATTGTTTGATACCGATCCAGTAGGCTCACAATACCTCAGCCTCCGCCCAAAATTCCTCCGAGTACGCTTCAGTCGAACGAACTCCAAACGACCCTTTTCAGGACTACGGGTGCTCCAGTTCCAAGCCCCAGAAACAACCCTCACTCGGAGAAGTCGAGTATTCGGGGTACAAGAAGCCACTTACCACCTCTGCGCAGTTGTTTGCCTTTCGCAGAACGGCAACCCGAGTGAACATATTCGAACGTACTGGAAGGATAGCACGGAGATTGTTCCAGCTGAAGTCGGCGACTACCAAAACAAGGAGCCACACATAGCCAACGCACAGCAGTGGGCCATTCAGCACAAGGGGTAATACATGCTCTTCTACTATCGAGTTCTCCAACCAGAAGCTTGGCCAGACTCTGAGATGAACCAGAGCGCACCGGATACGAACAGCGACCCTGGCACAACCGGCCAGCATCACCAGCATCGCACTTCAAGAAGCAAAATCGGTCTAATTAAATGAATGCCTCATAACCTCTCTGCACATCTAAACACATCTAAACACGTGTAACTCTCCTGCTTAAAAGGAATTCTTCTTCCTCTCCAAACATGCCTATTTCTGGTATGCGTAGATAAAAAACCATAGACCTGTAGGAAACGCTTAAGTAGTTGTACGAATGTCTTGGGACGATTCACGACAGGCAGAGAGGATGCACGATGCATGCCGCCCAAAATTCAAGGACACCCATGTCCAACATATTGTTTCCAGGGGGTTTCAAATCTTGATCTTCTTGGGAATAGGATTCGATGAGAATAACCTGCAATTACGTGGACTACACAGGTTCCATGTGTCGCTGGTGCACCATGCCATGGCATGATGCGCCGTCTCAGGGGTATGACAAACTCCAGAACGCAAGTTTTTTGTCTGTCCCCTGCAACAACCCATAAATAAACAAATTCAACCCCCATATCTTGACCTCTTCTTGAACATACATCAAATTATTCATTTCACCTCACATCAGTTACCTTGACCAAGGCAATTCAGCCCCTTTTCTTCGGCCAATAGGGCTGCTTCTTCCGACCATCGTTCCGAGTCTTAGTAAAGTCCTGCCTCTCCAACGCACTAGCCTGAATCTTCCAAACAGGAATCGCCAACTCAATAAGCTTAGGACCAAACTCACCCAGCACTTTTTTCACAGCCTCAACATCCATTTCAGGATCTTTTTCTCCTGTTCCTTCATCACCACCAAATGTCGCACGAGACCAACTCTTCTTCCACTCTTCCAGCGCAGCGTTTGCGTTCTCAGCCTCTGGTTGTACATTCTTAGCCACGAGGTAGAAAGTGGATCGAACAGCATGTTTCTTGTATGGTTTGAACAACTGAATACTTGCAAATGAGTTGAATTGGTGAAGTAGATGTACTACGTCCCAGGCATCTGGTCTGCGAAGTAAGACAGCCATTGTCCCTCCCGGAATGATCCGCTGCATAGCTAGGATGAGCTGAGATGTCGTCAGACGCGTTCGTTCGAATTCTCGTCTGTGCTCAGATCGCTCATGACTCCTGAGAACGGCACCGCCACAGAAAATGAGCTGGAAGCGTTGATCAACGAAGGGGCGCTCAGCGAGGAAGAGGGAGTGGTCTGGATGACTCGTTGGAATGGTCCCGATGCCGAACTCACTCGCGAGCATGGTGATGTCCATATATTTGACGTATTCAGCAGATAATGTGAACCAGTTTTTGTAACCGCCAATTTCGGGAGGGAGAGTGATGCCATAGGCGATCGCGTCCGGGTTGTACTCCAAGGTGCCCCACGTGAAGCCGCCTGGTGCCATGCATAAGTCCAATACCTGGAATGGTTGAGTACCAAGGTCTCCTGGGGTCAGAGCGCTTGTTTTCGCCTGCATTTCCTCCGCGATTTGCTTTGTCATATCGTAGAATGCTAGCGCTGAATCATCTGTGGCTTTGTCCGATTGTTCACGTCGATTCTGCCAATATCTGTCTCCTTCGGGATTGTCCCAACCCTAAAATGGTATTAATAAGTGGCCAAAATTGATGCTAGTCGTGGTGCAACTACCTTTTTCCTAACTGCCTCGAGTCGTACAAAAGTTGGACTGTTCTTAGCCAGATATTCTGCTAGAGTTCTATTTGGGCCAGTCGACAAACAGGGTATGTCTCGTCGTAGTTCTGACATGGCAAATGTGCTGGAATCCGTCTGACACTAAAGAGAAGAATCAGTGTGAGGAACACAGGAGCCTGTAAGTATGTGGCCTTACATTTGATTCCAAAGCTGGCGCATCGCTTGGCGGAGTGTTTTGGGCCTCCATCAAGATTTCTACGAGTTTGTGAAGAGACTTTAGACTGTCAAGCTTCGAGAAGGCAGCCTCACATGATGGTGCCCTTGGCGAAGTTTTCCATGAGCTTCCAAGATATGTTACACAAGAGCGGGGGTTACAGCCACATGCGAAAAAACAGTTCCAGCCCCATTTTTAAGCGAACCCTACCAAAACACGTTTTCTCAAACAACGATTTTACTACCTATCGACTATGCTATAATCTCTTTTTTAAACCATTATTCCTCTTATAGAAAGAAGGGGGAGCGCAAGGCGATAAATTTAAGCTATAGCGCACGTATTCTAATCGCATTATTGTGAAATTATTTACAAAACTATTAAAATAAGTTCTTGCTGCATTTCTTGAATTTTTGGTATGTTTTTCTAATAATTCGCCGACTACGCTATGATCTCTTATTTAAATTATAAGCCGACTTATATAATGGATAGGGGCAGCTTGCAATTAATTTAAGCCTAGGTGCACTTATTCTAGAAGCGTGGTTATAAAGTTATTAATAAAAAGGCTTTTTTTTGAGTTAAAGTCAGAGAAAAATCGAGAGGCGAGGAGTAGCGAGGAGATACGGGGTCTAAAAACTAGAGGGTAGTAAAATCGTGGTCCTGCAAAAACGCGTTTTACTAAAGTTCGCTTAAAAATGGGGCTGGAACTGTTGTTTCTACGGAAAGCGATAGAACTAGCGAGTGGCATACTTCAGCTTGAAAATTTCGATGGCAACCATTCTTCACCTCACACCGGAGTGATTTGCAAGGCACAAAAGCATTCAAACAGTATGACACACTCCCAGGTTCATGGAATTTCATTGGAATCATTAAACATTACACATTACACATTCAGTCCAACCCGACCGAGATCCAACCACCTTTGCACTCCAATTCAGCCCTTCAGCACCTCACTCTCTACCGCATCAACGTTAGCATTGCACAGATTTCCCCCAGGTGTGACTTACAGAGGTTTCAATTTCTCCATTTCTGTTGCCAAGTTTACCATGGAAGTAACCGTACAACAGGCTTGACCATTCGTATGAAGTCCCGCACACAGGAGCGATGGACCTTGATATCATGCAGTCCCGAACACAAGAACGATGGACCTTGATATCATGCAGTCCCGAACACAAGAACGATGGACCTTGACATCATGAAGTCCCGCACACAAGAACTATGGACCTTGACATCATGCAGTCCCGAACACAAGAACTATGGACTTCGAATCATAAAGTCCCGCCCACAGGAGCGATGGACCTCGACGTACGTGCAACCGGTAGCCTGCGCTGGAGATCGAAGACATCGACCTTTTATTTTCGGAACTGAGGTTCTTTCGAGCAGAACTCTCTCAAGTGTCGATGGCTTCCACAATTGCCACACGGATATGGACATGCACGCCAATGGTGGTCCTGTGCCCCGCAATTGTCGCAGGAATCCTCCCCTGGATTTGAAGTCCGGTTCCCGATTGGAACTAGGTTCCCAGTGACCCGATGGCCATTTGTCTCGCTGCGACCTCGTATTGGAGGGGGCATGGACCGCTCGTCGGCTCTTCCGCGGATTTGAAAATGTCTTTGCGGAGGCTGGGGGTTGCTGGATGTGCAATGGCTGTCATGATGGTCCTCATATGACGGCCGATCGGTGTCTCTGCTGCGTCGGCGTGGAGGGCCTCTGCTGTTTTGCTGGCTGGTGTCTGTGCTCCGCCGAGGAGGGTCTCTGTTGCTGAGTTCAGAAGATCCTGGTTGCGGTTGGTTGTCTCTCGAGTGACGTTCACGAGACCGCCCCTTGTCCTCCGTAGGGGGCTTGCTGTCTGGCGACGCTGGCAACGTTCCCTGTCGCCGCACCAATTCGTAGATCGTCTTGGATTGGTTGTTGAGACGTTCTATGACTTCCATGGGGACCAAAACCTGCCGCTGTGTAGTGCTGCTGGCGATGCGTTTCTTCGCTGGCTGGGTGTAACCGCTTGCACCCTTGCGCTTCTTCCCATGGCCGTGTCCTAGCCCGTTGGCCTTGCGCTCGCGAGCCTCTGCCTCACGCTGCATTTGCTCTTGGTTCTTCACAAACGCAGGCTTCCTATCTGGCATTGGTACGTCGCCAGTCTTCGGATCACTTCTTGGCGGCCTGGGAGCATTGGGCGAGATCTGAGGCTCGAGGCTTGCCAAGTCCCCATTCCACGAAGGATCCTCAAACATCCCATTCTCTGTCCATTGCCAAGCTCTCTTGAATCTCGCTGCCATTTGCTTGGAAAACTCCGCTGACCATGGAGGGTTATTCACCGACCCAGTGGGGCCGATGAATTTGCCATTCTCGAGCCTGAATTGTCCGCTGAGCAGGTCCCGATCATGTTCGATGGGCGGCTTGCATGCTCTCAGTCTGATCAGGTAGTGATAGGCATCCCTGGCTGTACATCCTTTCGGGCATGTGGCTAAAGAATGTGTCCTGTCACCATAACACTGCGGACAACCCGGAATGTACCCGTTGGGTCCTGGCGGCCCTGGGCATCTAGACATCTGATGACCGCGTCGACCACACCAGAAGCAGATACCATTTACCGGTCTACCTGGTTGACCCAGCTGCCCGCCTGCCATCCCATTGGAATTTTCTGCGCTCCATCCTAGCCCCTGAATGATCGCTGTCACCTCATCGACCCTATGCCCCTGGACATCAATTTCGACGCCCTCCATTGGGTGTGAGGTTGAAGCTGAAGGCTGTATGTCTGGGGCTGAGGGTATGATGCTGTTCCTGCTGCGAGGCGCTGAGCGATGCTCCAGCCTCTGTCGATTGCTGTCTCTGCTTTGGGCTCTTGGAGCAAACTCCCGAGGCTGTCGAGGGTCGCTGTTTGGCTGTTCGAGCATATCGACCTCATGGAGGTTGGTATACCCTTGAGCTGTAGAATTGTCGTCTGGCTCTTGGTCGGATGCCATGGTGGATGCTTTCAGCGTTGGGTGTACTGAAGAGCGGTTGATGGTGCACCGCTCCCCCTTTGCGAAAAACCTCGTCAACAAAGATTCTGTAATCACGTGTCCAATCCAACTACCGAATTCACTCGAGGGTCAGTCAGTTCACATTGCATGTATCGTATCAATTATTAGTGAATTACATCCAACCATTTTCTTATTTGTATTTCCGCAGGGCTGCTTTCAGAAATCCCCAAATCATCAGATCTGGCTCAATGTTAAAGCCCCATAATTCCAAACCGAACACCAGAACCGAATGGGTTATGCAGCGTGGACGTGGTATCATTACCAGAGTGTTGTCAAGCTGTTGTGGTGTTACCAGACATCAGTATTAGATCCGCGAAATGCTTCTATGTCAAGGTGGAACCCTCGCGATCAAGCCTCACCGAGTAGACCTGGTGGGCTGGGTCAACGCCATGGCATAAACGTGTTGCAGTAGGAACCCTTGTCAATAGACCACTTCTCGGGCTCCGCTGTCTGCCTGGTCGCAAGATCCAATGAACGCTCGAGACCATATGGGAAACACAACCAATCAGTGTGGTTTTTGTCCTAGAAAAGCCTAGAGCGGCCTGGATCAACCGCCGATGACAAGCAAATTTCTAAGAAGTTTACAATTCAGAGCATGAAGAAGCGCATCTTCCAGTCTTGCTAAAGCTGAGAAGCATCTACAACCTTGCACGAGTAAGGACGAGGTATCCTGACAAGTTCCTTACACCCTCGACCCGTACACTATCGGTGAATTTTATCCACGGCAGTGACAGCCTCGCGGCCCTAACAGTTACACGAGCTCTGAGCTTGGGAACTTGGGAGTTCTTTCCTAAAACGACAGATACCGGGAATCACAGACGAAATGGCGTTGCACAACGGTGCTCAATTAACACATGATTTCGCCAATGTTAAGAACATCACAGATAGTACGGGAAATCTTTCGATACCATCAAGAACGCCTCGCAGCATTGATGAGCGGCTTGGAGAGTTTTTCACGGACGGCCGCGCAAGTGCTTTCACAGACGCAGACCTCGCACAGGTCTCATTCCTGTTACAGAACAGCAACCATGCTTCCTATAGTCGAACACCCCGCCTATATACTGTCCTCCGTATTATCGACCGCCTTGAGCTGCTCGACAAATTTTTAGCGAGCAATATCACGGACGTCTCCTTCCCTTTCGACGCGAAATCCTTTCCCTCTTCTATTAGCAGTAAAATACAGACTGAATTTTTGCAGCATCAGTCTACCGTGCTTACCAACACACTTCATTTAGAAAAGGGTGAAAGAGGAGGACATTTGTATTTTGAGAAAGGGAAATCGGCGCCGTACGAGGTCAAGGGAAGGCTTGGATCTGGTTCGTACGGTGTAGTGGAGAAGGTTGTAAGCCTTCTCAGTCACGAAGAGTTTGCTCGAAAATTAGTTCTACGAACTAAGTATGGAAGAAAAAATGAGACAGGGATCAAGACCTTCCTTGCTGAACTTCAGGTTCTTAAACGGATTTCTCATAGCCACTGTGTGAAACTGGTATGTGCTTTTACCTCTTGAGAAATCGAATTGAACTCACCACATATGAGGATATATAGATTGGTAGCTACACAGATCTCAAATATGTTGCTCTCATAATGAGTCCCGTGGCCGACTGTAACCTGGCATCCTATATGGAAGAGTCTATCAACTCCGTCGATAAGCAATCATTGCTACGCACCTTCTTTGGATGTCTCTGTAACAGCCTTCAATACCTCTACCAATCCAAAATCTGCCACTGTGATGTGAAAACAGAAAACATTTTGGTGAAAGGCGAGAATGTCTTGTTGACAGATTTTGGGATCTCTCTTGACTGGGAAGATATGAGCAGAAGTACTACAAGTACCGATTTCGGACATTCTCCAGTATATTGCGCTCCAGAAGTTGCAAATTTCGAACCTCGAAATTCGTCATCTGATATCTGGTCACTTGGTTGTGTCTTCCTAGAGATGACTACAACACTAAAAGGTGAAACAGTCAGTCAGATGCACCAGAATTTCAAGGCTTACTCGGAGAACTATCGATTCTACGCCAACTTAAAACCAGTAGATCTTTGGATCGAAGATCTCTATACTCTTAAATCCTACCCAGATAATGAGCCTCTAAAATGGATCAAGTCAATGCTAAATATCAATCCACAAGATCGCCCGACAGCTCAGACAATATTCAGCATTATTACACAGCAGCAAGCGGGGTCTGATACTTTGTTTAGTCCTGTGATGTTTTGCGGTTTATGCTGTCTTGAAGGTGATGACACGTCCTTTGGTTCGGAGTCGGATAGAGAGCGGTGGATCGAGGAACCAGAGGAGCAGCGAACACTGCACCAATATCTCTCAGTCAACCTGGATCCTGCCCTAGCTCAGGCCGATCAATATTCTGCCGCATTGGAAAGGAACACCCATGGAAAGCAAGATCCTAGCTAGAGCTCTAGCGATGCCTTGAGCAACAACATATTTCCTCGTTGTCACAACAATAATGGGGATAGGGACGAAGACAGAGGCGGGTTCTCCTCGCTAAGGAATCCAGCCGACCATCTGCAATCAGCAAATATAGATAATTCCATTGACAACATGTTTCCTAGCTATGCCAACAGTCAAGGAAAGGGGTCTCCAACCCGTGGGACTATGGAACGCCATGCCCAATCAAGACATCAGGGCCAAAAGTCGAATTGCACGTTCCCTGGCTGCCATAATAATCAGGGAAAGGGGTTTGCAAGTATTCAGATTATGGAACGCCATGCTCAATCAAGACATCAGGGTCAAAAATCCAATTGCAGCTTTCCTGGCTGTAACAATAATCAAGGAAAGGGATTTTCTACGCCCAGAAATGTGAAACGCCACATTAAATCGAGACATCAGGGTCTACATCCGGGTCAAAAATCCAATTGCACATTCCCTGGGTGCGACAATAATCAGGGAAAAGGGTTTACAGATTCTCGTAATATGGAACGCCATGCTGGATCAAGACATCAGGGTCAAAAGTCGAAATGCACCTTTTCTGACTGCAAGAATAACCGGGGAAAGGGGTTTCATCCTGTAGCAATGCATTGCCATATTCGAGTAGTCCATTTTGGTCAATAGTCTAGATTTCGCCGCAACAGCTCTAGCCACAGTGGGGGAGGAGGCTCTGCGGACCATAATTCGGTGGCTCTTTCCGGGGAATTTGGCGGAGGGATGCATTACACAAGCAGTTATTAAGGCACAAAGATCTCTCCTGGATCTTCCTAAGTGCTTTCTCCAGAATAGGGTTGGGACAAAGTTAGTTATATAGTTCTATCAGAACTTTTGTTATAAGACTATATTAGAGGAAGACCGAGGCGCCGTTTTTGTTCCTTCTCGTCCAGAAGGGTAGCGGGAGGCAACGAGATTGCGCGGTCAGAGCTTGTCCACGGCTTGTCTTTACGGCTCCCACTCTAGAATATTATCCGTTATCTCTCCGGTAGTCTTCCTTTAACCAAGCTTGATTCAGAAAAGTAGTGGATAGCAGATTCGAAGGGATTTTGTTCCGTTTCCAACCTTCCATTTGTTCTCTTGGCTGCTCTATTTCGTGATCGCGTATTTGGTTTTTTTTTTTGGATTATTCGAGTTTGGATTGTTGTCTTGGCGCAGTGGTTTTCGTAGCAAGAATGAAATGAAATGATATGACATATTGTTCTCGATTGTGTGGCTTGTACCTCGCCCCCTGCACTACTCGTCACCACTCGACCACATCCTCCTCCCCCCTTTATATAAAGTGCATCTCTTTTATCTCCTTTGACTCCTCTCACCTCATTGCACGTTCGAGCATAGGTGAAGTGAAATGTATGCGATACCAGCCTCTTCAGCTCCAGCCTCGTCACGCCCACTGACGCGCCCTGGTACCTTGTGGCGCTTTTCAACCACAATAATTGCACAACGGGGCGCCAACTCCAGCCTCCTACTCAAGGAGAACTCCGTTGTATTTTCCAGTCCACCTGCATTTCTCAGTATGCTTCATCTTTCGCAATCAATAGATTGCCTCTGCGCACTCTAACACGCGATAACTGCTGAAACCTATGCGTTGCCACCTTGCAGTGCAGTAGAAGCGTTAAAATATCTGTTGGCTCATTAACGACGACATTCACACCACCCTCTAGTTGTCTCGCCTCCTTCCAAACCACGGGATGGAGCCAGTCCCTGACCAACTTGGGGTTCCTTTTTGCAGGTCCGGTAACAACATCGGGCTGCATGCCCGATAACTTCCAGTTTTCCAGCACAAATTTCTACTCTCCGGGAATATGTCCTGTAGGGTACACGACCGCATGCCACTCCTCGATCCCAGTAGGAACGTTGACCGAGACGGTGGTAACTTGCTGCCCGACGTTTGTCCTGCGGAAGCCGTGTTCTGCAAGGAGAAAGTTGACAATGGCATAGGTCATACGCATGCAATTCCAATCCGATACCGAACTATCCTTGGGAATCCACTTTCGGGTGCCAATCGACGTTTGGTCCAACGCAGTTCCCCTCTGTCGTCACTTTCTCGGGAACAACACCTGTGGCTACGGGACCCAAGAACCTGAAGCGGGTGCTATCAACGCTCTTAGCGTCCAGATAAGATACCAATCTACTGACTTCCAGTCGCAAACATCGGTAAGAACCCTCTCTCAATTTTCTTTTGCCTAGTTTTGTCATTGACTTATTGGCAAAAAGTCCCCAGCCCCTACCTCAACCACTTCGACGACAACTACCTCTTCGATATCATCGAACGGTATAGCGGGCGGCGGCAGCCACGGGATTAGCCCGGGTGCAGCCGCGGGCATTGGCGTAGGATCTGCAGCCGTGGCTCTTTTTCTCGCCGGTGCATTCGTGTTTGTGTATACTTTGGGCCGCAGACGGCGACTGGCTGAAAATACATCTGCGAGTCCAGTCTTGAATCAGAAGGACACTGTTCTTGGTAATATGAACGCAGCAGCGTCGGGGTTCCCAGCGATGGAAATGCCAACGAATCCTATGGGACTGCCTGAAATGCAGGGACACCCCCACTGAGAGAAGACTTGAAGGAGTCTTATTGAAGCTTTTGGTGAGAATAGGTGGATGTTATAGTTGATTTGGTATCTGTTTGCCCACTGGCTATGTATCCAGTCTTCCGGAACATATCGAGTAGCTACTAGCTTATTAATATTGCTTCAGTCCCGCACTCTAGGCATTATAGAAAGTGTAATGTTTAACGTTGAGAAAGTTCGTCTTAACGAAATGACATAAAATACAACGAGAAGGAGGCGGAAGTCAGGAAGAGTCACGCTTTTACGGAGGCGGTGTATTTCTTTTCTTTTCTTTTCCTTGTTTTTGGGGGGGGGACTTTCTCTAGTTAGGACTTCCCTCTAGTAATCGCAAATTACTGGAGGTCCTGTGCAAAACGGTTCTTTTAGATCGTTTTACTCGGCCAGTATTTACTATATAAGAAACATTTTCAGCTATTAGAAAATACTAGAATAGAATTTCTAGTCTCTAAATATTATAGTATATTAATTTACTAATTGCAATAAGATTATATATCGTCTAATAAAAAGACATATAATATATTTTCTGCTTTACCTTCTATTCTTTCCTTCGTAATTATTAAAAATATCTCTTTTTAAGGATTTCAGGTTTTGTAGTATATCTTCTCCTCTAAATATTTCTCGGTTAAGAAAACATTATCCTTTTTCTGAAATCTCTTTAAAGTAAATATAATCGAGCAAAAAGTTGTTTTTAATATAAATAATAAATTTAATAAATAAGTAAAAGTAGTTAAAAAAATATATATTTTAATATAAGCTTCTTTATTAAAGTATTAAAAAACCGAATACTCTCTTAAAAGTTGGCTTTAGAAATAGAGATTATAGTAATAATTATATTTTTTAATTTCATAAAACTAATAGATTCTATAATTTATTAAATAGCTTTTAATGAAATTGAATTATAATTAAATATTAAAGATAAATTTGAGGTTTAATATAGTGAATTGAGACTTATAACTTTTCTGAAATACATTTAAAAAATAACTATTATATTAAAGTATAATTATTTAGTTCTAAAGTCTAATATTATATAATATAATTCCAGTATATAAATAGTATGTTTTTGCTACTAATTGCTTTCAAGATAATAATATATTATATTATATTTCTATATAGTTTATAAGAAGATATATAATATTGAATTTAATTTAAATACTTGAAAAAAGCCTTTCTGAAATTATTATCTAGTATTATATTAATACTAATAGAAACTTGAAAGCATGTACTAGAATAATTAGATACTAGCAGTTATTAGAACGTTTATTAAAACATGTAATAATCTCAAATATATAAGAATATTATAGTGATCTCAAAGGTTTTCTCCTTATCTTTACAGGTGTTTGTATATTACGAGGATATACTGCATTTATAAAACTATAGCGCGTTTGAGCCATAGTGAGTACGATAGTGCCTAGAAGAGATAAGCAGAAGATAGTATTAATTAAACTAAGAACGAAGGTACTGATTTCTCTAAAGAACTAATATATGCCAACTCGTTCGGGAAAAGCCTCCCCTCTCTAAAGGATCGACCCGCAGATGACCCAGCCTCCATGCCGCTACATGAGAGCTCCAATTATGATACAGTCGTAAGCCCGGGGCGTTCTGCCACGGCCCCGCTGGGTCGCATGTGGATAACACCCTCTCTTTGGAGCTCTGGCCCATGCGGAATGTTCTATCTATGGAAGAGCTCTGCCTACCGGATGCGGTGTCTGCGGCATATTCGGTAAGATGCCGAGTGGCGTTGAGAGACAGCCTTGCGAGGCACTGCATTATAAGAAGACCCGCGAGCAGTATACTGAATGCAAATGGATGGGGCAATGACATTAATAGTAAGTTGTCGGATAATCTTTATTAAAATATGTCTCTCGATATGAATAAGGTTTGTTTATTGCGGATTGTAGCCTCTCCAGTAATCTACATAGCTGATCATTAGAACATTGAAAATTAGGGCGTTGTTTTGCTTCTTCGATTCGTATCTGAGATTGGGATTACAGCCACTGGCAAAACGCATTCGGGCACCAACTCGGTGGCTCGTGATTTTGTTTATAGTCTATAATTGGCTGATTCTGAGATCTGACCTCGTATTGAGATACGAGAAAGGTAAGAAAGGTGGAGAGTAGGCAGACTCGGCGCGCTGCGGCGGCGCCGTCTGCAGATCACCAAATCGATGTGGCCCCTACTGTAAGGTGAGGCTGAAGCTAACTCAATCGGGGCAAAATACGGTTAAGGATATCTGTCTCCTCGAATGCGGTAGGAGCCTTCCTTATACCAGATTACTGGTTGGTTGCCTGCGAGAAGCCCAACCTAATATTTTTGGCTCCAGACGGTCTAACGGAGTCTATTAATATAATCGTGGTGCGACCCAAACAAGGCTGAGTTTCAACGCAATATCGTTTTCAAAAGATCTTGGTCGGTCTCTCGGGGATTACTTGAATGCTATCTAGTATCTGTACTCTGACATCCGCTTCTCTTCTTTGCAATTTACGAGCGATAAAACGATATGGCAACGCTAAAGAGGAAGCCGCTCCTACCCACCGCTGACAGATCATCATCCGAGACCCTCCTGGGCTCCTTCTACTCACGAAATGATGACTTGGACAACCTGCCTGAAAATTCTACCGAAATTGAGATACCTGGCAGCCACACCACAGGATTTCGTTCCACCAAGATAACTAGCACGGCTGTTGCTAGCCCGGTTGCCTTCAATCGACAGGATATCAAGGACATCAGCCCCAAAGAAGAGCCTTTCACTCATGCGAAATACCCTTCTTCACAAAGGTACCGCATTTTCTGGTACTGGAAATGGGAACTCGCTGCACTTGGCTTAGCCGTTGGGCTGCTCGCAGCTATAACTGCTCTTCTAATGTCTTTCAACGGGCAGCGTGTTCCAGACTGGGGCTATTCCATCAACCTCAGCACTCTTCTCGCCCTGTTAGCGACAATTCTCCGAGCTGTTATAGTTATGATCATTGGCCAAATTATCTTGCAGGCCAAATGGACCTGGTACTCAGGGGACCGTTCGCGTCCCCTTCAACATCTACAAGACTTTGATCGTGGCAGCCGCGGTACCGTTGGATCAGCGTTTCTCTTACCAACGGTGCTTGGAGGTAGTTTCGTCACTGCTCTTGCGGCTCTAGTTATGGTTTTTTCACTCGCGATCGGTCCATTCGTCCAACAAGCGATTAAAACGACGAGTTGTGTCCATCCAGTGCTAGGAATGACCGCTTCACTGCCCTCGGCCCACTTTGTCCCTCGGCAAGTTCTATTTGGCAGAGGAAATATAAATACAGAACCTTTATCAGAACTCAACAACTCTGTCTTTGAATGCCTGACCGGAGGCGTCGACGCAGTCGAAAATCAGATTGGTACCTGTAGCACTAGCAATTGCACCTTTCCAAATGGTGACCCAATCGACGCCTCTACTACGTCCACAGTCGCCTCCTCATTCTCTAACGTTGGAATGTGCTCAAGTTGTGTGGACGTCTCTCCCCTTGTGGAGTCTGTCGAGACTAATATGAGTTCCGGGTTGTCCACCTGGAGCTTGCCAAATGGGCAATCTATTACTTCTCCCAAAAACTGGACTGCTTGGGGGACGGTTGCAAACGTGAGTATAAACTCCGACTTTTTATGGCTGAAGAGCCTCTTAAGTCCCGAATTCGCGCAGGCTAGTCAGTGGGCGGTAGCTATGGTCACATCGCTTGTGCTGTCCTCGTCGCAATGCGGAGATACTGCAATGCCCTACTGCCAAACAAAGATGCCTTTTCCCAACGGGCACAAGATGGTGGGTCCTATTGCTGCGGCATGCGCACTGTACCCTTGTATACGAAGGACGGTCCCTTCGATGACGAACAATAAGCTGTCCGAGGTTCTAATCGATACCACAAAGCTATTGCCCGCAGTTTTCGATACTTTCGTGAACGGCCCGTTGGGAAATATCACCAATGAGCTTGAGTTCCTGTCAGGCATCCTGACTGGCTTAAACGTCACTGATCCCGGCTCATTATTGAATTACGCAGAAATCCAGTTGCCCTGCCGCGTTAATGAGACTATATACACAAGTCAGAATGCTTCCGGGGCACCGAATGCAACAACTCTACTTCTGTACGAGACGTTCCCTAATGGAACATTCCAAATCAAAAAAGTCTCGGCCCCAGAACCGTGCATCTACCGACAAGACCCAATATTCACATCCACGGTAGCGAACATACTAGAAACGTTTCTGCCGCAGACCTGCTTTTATAACGGCCTTCTCGATATAGAATGCTCTGGCAATATATGGGAAATAGGGAATGAAATGTATAATCTATACAGGAATGCCAACATCACAGTGTCTGCGATCCACAATTACTTCGAGTCGTTCGCTATGGCACTTACGAATAGGTTCCGGTCGAGTTTCGGGAGTTCAGTATATGTCGCGAACACACTCTCGGACCTGCCAGAGGGTGAGGTACAGGGGGTTGTATGGCAGGATTCGGTGTGCACGTCCGCGCAATGGGAGTGGTTATTGCTTCCTGCCTTACTCGTGCTCCTTACTTGTTTCTTATTGTTATGGACGGTTGCTGAGAGCTGGAGGCGCCGTAATATTGAGCCTGTGTGGAAAGAGAACGTACTACCTGCATTGTTATACAAGGATAAATTCAAAGAGACGGATAAATCTGCGTTAGGTGAAGTGTCGGGACAGCTTCCAGGAGGCTTGAATCGACAAACGGATAAGCTGCTGGAAATCGATGAAATGGAAGCGATTGCGAAGAGTATAAAGGTGAGATTTCACTGGTCTGAGGGTAGAGGACAAGAAATGAAAACATTTAGTATAAGAACTAAAGAGAATAATACCGGGAAAAGGAATTAAGACGTGACTAGCTAAAGAAAATAAAAGAAAATGCTATAATTAAGAACGCGTACAAGTATTTAATAAATAAAAAGTAAAATTACTAAATCTGCTTTAATTTATAATATATAAAAATATATATATATTAATAAATAAATAAAATAAAAGCAAATATTATTATATTTTAATTAAGGAAATTATATTAATGGGCTTAGTAGTTAATATAATATTATTGCTTTATTTAATTTATGTATATTAATAATAAATCCGGTTAGATATTAATATACTTTTAATATATTATAAAAAGTACTTAAAATCTTATTTAATAATTTTATTTTAAAAAAAATACTTTTATATTCTTAATAAGTATTATAAATCTAAATCTAAAACTTACTAAATATAATTAGACTATTTTTATTTTAATAATTATAAAATATTATACAAAAGAAAATATAAAAATATCTTTTATAAGTATTAATATAAAAATATAATTTTTTTTAAAAAGTTTTTATATATAATTACTACATTTACTTTTATATATATTACTATTTATTTTAGAAATAATATTATTAATATAGAAGTATAAAAGAGCTTATAGCTATCTTTAGAAATATTTCTTATTAATAATATCCGACTAACCCTAATGTCTTTACCTGTTTAGAGTAAAGTTTCTATAAGAATAGGTCGAAGTTCACGGGTTTAGGACACTTTATAGATTTTATTAAGACAAGTGTTAATTAAACTATGGAGTAGATACATTATTGCTCAAATAGAAGGCTCGTGGTTAATAGAACTATAAAAGTTCAAAACCGTTTATTTATCGCCCAAGTCCCCTGGCCCTCTTCCCTTACTAACAAGTAATCCTACTACTAATCCAAACTCGAGATTCATCATCCTGTAAATCGACTCACATCTGCGTTGATCGGCATATCCATTCGTTCCACAAGTAGAGTCTGGTTGCCAGACGGTTCCATCCTCTTAGCATAAGGATCACCTGGCAAAGGAGGTAGAATTGTCATGGGCGGATTATTGCTGTTAGGACAGACATTAAACCAAGTATTGGCTATAGAGGTGAGCGGGTAGACTGCAATATAGTCTGCTCTTCCTTCTCCATAAAGGCTTGAAAATAACAAGATTAGCCGTTTTCCGTCAACCAGTTAAGATTAAGGAAGGGTAGAACATACTTCCCAAAGTTAATGCATGCGCCTCTCAAAGTTCCTCCTACAGCTACAGCACCAACAGGATTCCAGTGAATTGAGCTACCCTGGTTGGCTGATGGATCACCAGGTCCTTCGTTGGTCCAGGCTCGTACTGAACCAACAAACTTGTCTACCCAAAGATAATCGGCTCTTCCCTAATGCAGATGGTAAGGTTAGCAAGTTGGGGGAGTAAGGCAGAAAGGGGCACTTTACGTCGCCATTAATATCAGCGAATCGAATGCTGGCTCTGTCGGCGCCTTCTGAGAATTTGACTTGGCCTTGTGATATGAAGTTGTTCGCCCCTTTGTTCAACCAAGCTGTTGTGCGACCGTTCAAGTCCAAACAGAGGTAGTCTGCGATTCCGTCTCCTGGAAGCCGAGTTTAGTAGTGTTCGTCTATGAGTTGGCAAAATAATACATACCGTCAATATCGGCAAATCTCACTCCGAGGTCAAAAAGACCGACACCATAATGGTTTGTGCAGCCACCTCCATTGAAGATCCGGCCGACATCTGTCCATGCAAACGTATCGGTGGCCTTTGAGTAATCGTTACGTATCATATGAACCTATACCGAGTCAGACGATGCTTGACCAAACTTGATGTTTGAATCGGACAGTCTTTACATATCCAGTGTACTTGTCGACTATAAGAAAGTCGCATTTCCCGTCGCCGGTCACTTGAGAGAGAAAACCTTTAGCACAATTCCATATTCGAACGGAGTTTTACTCACTGTCAGCCAAGTGTATATCTTTCCGAACTCGCTGGGTCATCAGAAATCCTCCAGGTGAAAAGATTTGGCCATAATGCAGCCAATAAGGAGGCTCATGGAAGTTGCCATATAAAGTCAGATTTCCATCTTTCTCCATCCAAACATAGTCGTCTATAAAATTTAGATGAATAGATTCATTCAACCTCGACTTCTTGAGCGTCTCACCTGATCCCGTGCCTCTCATATCACAGTAACGATCTCCGTCACCTTTCTGTCTTGAGCCACCGTGACCACCATTCCTCCACATCGTGATATTTATGCTGTAAAAAGGTTTTGAACCAGCGCTCGTTATTTGACTGAAAGCGGTAGTATAATCTGCCCCGACGGCGTCGTAATCTGGCCACGTTATGTATTCTTTATGAGTGGCTACCCACCCGAAGACAACTTGAGTGCGGTTCGTAACGCCAGTGTTGCCTCCAGAGTGAGTGACTCCAGCACTGACCCAGTAAGGTGCGTAGCCTTGGGTCCAGCCGCGCTGATTGATCCACTATACAGACTTTGAGTGAGAGCTTTGACATCCGATACCCAGGAAATAAATTTACAGAAAGAAAATACTGGGTAAAATACGTACAGTTGTGACGGCTCCAGTGTTGCTAACCCAAAGTAGATCGTCTCGTCCTGTGGATAAGTCAGTCAGATATCAGCTTACTCAATCATGGTAACGCTACCGTCGCCATTTATATCGACAAATCTAAAACCAGCAATGTCTCCCATATTGCCACCAGTCCAGATGATTCCCAAATCTTGCCAGTACGCTGGCGCAACTCCCTGCCCTCCGTTTCTCCATGCATGGATATCTCCAGTAGTAGGGTCAACACACATGTAATCAATTCTCCCATCGCCGCTAGGTAACGGGGGAGTCAGTATTTTCCTAATAAAGGCTGTTTCGGGAGACTTGTCTCGGGTGGAGAACATGAGACTTTTCTGGGATGGGAAGGGGATTTCTCCCCCATCAACTTACTCGATATCACCTAATCTGATCTGGTATTGTTGACAGCCAGCAACAGCATTGAAGATGACCCCCAGAGAGACCCAATTTGGACTACGAACGTCCGACCCTGGTGTATTTTGCCATGCTACAAGCGCACCATCTGGATATGTGAGACAGAAAAAGTCGTCACGACCTTGAGAAAGCGTTAGCAAAGCTCCGTAACTTTCGAAAAATACGCACCATCTGCATTCAAGTCTCCCATTCTGACACCTCGACGCAAGCATGGCATGTTCGTAGAAATGTTGAGAATGGGACTGAAGTCATCAAAAACCCCATAGTTGATAGCGACTCCCATGAATAAATCTTCCCCAATGTAGACAAAATCGTCGACTCCTATATCTGCTTAGCAATGTTTTCCTTACCAAGATACTAGCGCTTACCATCTCCGTCGATGTCTGCCCAATAAGTTCCTATAGCATCGTATTCGTACGTGGGTGACCAGATATTTGTGAAGAGATTACTCATATCACCCAGGAGAGTCCCAATATGCCTGAAAGAGCGTCAGTATTCAACGTTCTGGAAACATCCCAAAATTATCTTCGCCGATTTCACTCCAGATCTAACGCCTTTCCACTTCCCCAGCAGAGTTGTTGAAAGAATAAACTTACACATATCCTCCATCTTGATTGCCAGATCCCTCCTGAGTAAGTACTGGACCAATTGCATTGCCGGGTATCTTTTCGCAGGTGGTATCTCTGATACCCGTCCCAACACTGTCATTCAGACCGGCGACGACAGCAGGAGGAGTGAGCCAGCAATTGGCGTAGATTTGTTGGATGCCTCCATACCAGACATTGGCCATCTTGACGTAGCCCTCTGTACAAGTTAGTCCACTTAGTTCATTATTTCTCCCGGGTAGCGAGCGCCATCGCAGAACACTTACCGTCGGTGGGATGAGTTCCACCAGAGTTTAGGTCGGCTGTGGTGATATATCCTAAACTGCCTTTAGCACTTCGAGAGGAAAATAAACAACCACTTTTGATGTTATGACCATAAAAAGCTGGTGGGAGTTGGTGTATTTGCGGAGGAAGAAAACAAAGTCTTACCATTGTGCATGTCGACCAGTTGAATGAGAGAGCCAGCAGCTACACGAGACTGAACCATAGCTTGAATGTTGGAATTGATGATTTCAATGTTGGCTTCTGTGGGAGCATCGGTGTTTGGTATTATTGTTGAGACTAAGATGACTGTTCCTGGCACCGCGCTCAAGATCCGATCAAGCAGAGAGCCGAGCCTTTCATGTGCAGTGCTAACTTCATAATTTTGCAAGGCGTCGTTTGTACCAGCATGAATGATGACAAGATTAGGCTAACGTTGATAACGGAAATGTCAGCGTTTCCTTCTCAGAGTTGCATAAAAAGACTGCTGCTACCCATCTCTTGTAGGTTGATATCAGACGGAATTACTTACCAGCCAAGGTAGGGCATTCTCCGCTTTGACGGCAACTTGATCAATGCGATAACCAGTCCACTAGATGTTTTGACAAGTAAGCACAAGTCCTCCATATCAGAGTGAAGCATCAACAATCGTCTTGTAAAACACACAAATAGAAATAGACTGCTTGAGAAAATGGTTCAAGGCGAGAGATTTTTGAAGGTGCAGAACGCAAGTTCTCTGACTCACCCCTTCGACATCGTTGTCGAGCATAGTACCCGCTTGTAATTCTCCAACAAAATTTACTGCAGCATTATTTGCAATAAGCTGTTCTCTCAAAGAGGCTCGGAAGCCGTTCCCGTCAGTGGACTCGTACCCGTACACAATCGAGGCTCCCAGAGGAAGGATTCTTAGCATCAGTTCCGAATCAAATGCATTGCCGATTGGTACACATGGACCTTCGTCAACATTGACGGAGATGGCAACTTCGCCTAGCCACTGCTGTTGATACCCGAGCCAGCTACTACCAAAATCAACCTGTGGAGGACCGGCGACTATCTCTTTGATACAGGGGCAGTTCACATAGGGCTCCTGAAGAGATTTATTAGTTGTGGCCACGATTGGCGCGCTTGGGGATTTACCAAGACGCATAATCCATGTTGTTGGCCTTGGCAGTTGTAGTCTATGCACAGAGGCTGAGGTAGAACAGGTCAGAAACTAACTCTCACTTTACAATTGAGGCAAGACCACGTACTGAGAGAATAGTGATTGGTTCATTCCCCACGCATCCTTCGTTGGGATCCGGCTTTCCAAATCCCTCGGCCGGTATATTGACTTTGGCGAACGGGAGAATATTTGGGGTCTCCCCTGAATAATTGGCACCTTCCTGACTAGAATCATAAAAATTATAAAATGCAAACCAGATTGCTCCCATGGCAACGCCCTCTGCGCCGTACTCAGCCAGAATCGTTGCAAATATTCTGGCCAAAGCAGGTGCAGCGTTTGGGGAGAGCCCGATGTCTATCAATGTCCACGAGTCTCGTACAACATAAGCGTCGAATATGGCATCTGGTGCAATATCTGCTTCGGCATGTTCTAAGAGACATGTCAACGCTGAAAATGTTAGCAAACTTATGTCTAAATCCTCTACTTTGAACCGTTTTTGGTCTTACCAGCCTCAGTCACTCTCTTCATATTTCTGTTGTTCGCTTCATCTCGTTTCCGCGCCTTCACAGTCGCACCACATGCGTTTGCTGCTATTTCAGCAGAGTTGGTCAATGCACTGGCAAGTCCTTCAGGAAGGATGACTGATATGTCGCCAATGTTCTGTCCGTTGGCTGCAGCTGTAGCAGTGGCAACAACTATCTGTACAGTGGAACTGCCTGCCATCGAGAGGTACTCTGTATTGACCTCTATCCAGCTAAAAAAAAAACTCACTGTCAGCATTTTTCCATCTAAAGAACGAATCCAAAAGCTTGAGAAAACCAAAGTTCCCATGGTTCCTGGTGGGTTCTGTTCAGAACAAAACCCCCGGGGGTAAATAACATTGCAACGAAACTCATTCATACTAGGGAGAAGTCAACACACGCTCAGATTCAGAGTAGTTTTTCTGGGCATACCTGTGTGGTGGTGTCTACAATGTTTATATACTGGGTATCTGTACCAAAGATCTGGCCAACATAAGTCTCCGCATCGCCCAAATCTGATAGGACTGGATTGACGCCAATTTCGCCAGCAGTTGTAGGTACAACTGCCTTTATCCCGCGTCCCGTGATAGTTGGAGTTGGTAGCTGAAAGTCAGGCGGCTGGGTTATAACAAACGCGTGTCCCGACCACACTTGACTGAGGAGCCAAAGGGAGAGCGACGACCGCATCATGAAATTTCTCTGATACCAGGGAAAAGCTAGTTCTCAGTGCCAAAATTTAATAGCATTGGAAAACGACAGCAAAGCTGGAGGTAAGCACAAGAACCAAATTATTCCGCAAGGCACGTATAGGTCGTTTCGAGGCATTTCGACTCTAACCATGGTTGATAGGGACACACATAATTCTTACAAAATACCCTTGAAGCTGCGAGTGAATCCTGCCATGCGAGATTCGTAAGAAGTTGGTGCAGGAATGTCCGCATGGTGCATGGGCACATCCTTCGGTGAAATTACCCAGTTTTTGCGGCGTGCTTGCAATTATTTTCGGAGTAATGACCTTCCAGTTTGCTTCCGAACATCTCATAGCCGTGGTCTTTCGCCGACTTCTAATTATGGAGAAATGTTGGTAACTTGAGGCAATGCACAGGAATGCTGATGGTAAGCTGACAGGTCCGGAGTACTATATTGACCCCTGCAGGGTACCACGGGTTTGGTCACGCACGCCTTTTTGGCAAATTAGCGGGTTCCGATATGCGCCATTGGCGCTGCGAAATGTAGGGATCTCAAGGCTCGATTAGTGATCGGCTACGATCCCTCTATCGTCATCAAAGAAGATGCGACTTGTTCCTATGTTGATTCTCCACTGAAACGTATACATCCAGTCCCTTCTCTTTCGAGCCTTACTTGGCCAACATAATTCGTCCAGAGACAAAGAGGCCTGCGGTGCTGAACGCACTAGTGGATCCCACGTGAGGAGATGGGCTTTAAAATTTGGTTACAAGCCCATTTGAGTCGGATTTCTTCCAAAACGCCAGTGGTCCCGCGTCGTCACTTACCGTATCCAAGATTGCTTGGACCTCCGCCTGTTGGGATTACAGATCACTTGAGGCGGACGAGCATCACAAGAGCTCCATCACCAGCTAGTGAGGATGGGATTGATAAACATTCCCTGCATATCTTATTAGATGTTTTGCCACTGGAAGTTCGACAGCAGATATGGGAGACAATCCTTGGTGGGCACAGTTTCCATCTGAAGATTCGACAGGGCCAGCTAGTAGCTCTTCGTTGTTTATCATCGGACCCGACCAATTGTACAGACACGAATTGGGAAGTACATCCAAAACACAAACGCCGTGAGCGGGAAAGACATCGAAAGGGAAGAAAGCGGGATAGTTTATTGCCGATCTTACAGTCATGCAAACAGATGTATGTTTGACGACTTTGTTTGAAAGTTGCTCTCCTCTATATAATGGAGGCTGACATTTCTGTGTTTCTAGCTATGGCGAATCCGTCAATATTCTCTATTCTTCAAACGCCTTCTTGATCTCGGACATAGATACCATGATGTACCTCCCGTCACTACTTCTTCCACAACGCATCGACGCCATTCAGACTCTGTACTTCAACTGGATCGGTCTTCCCTCCCATATCAGTACTTTGCTTCGATTTGAGGGGAAGGAAGACGTTCAGGCAACACTCACGTATCCAACAGCTTGGACTACAATATGGCGTAACATTTCCGCGATGAAAGGTTTGCAGACTCTCCTCGTGAATCTTAGCATTTGCCCAGATGTTTGGTCACGTTCATGGGGAAACATGAACGAAACCACGTCAGACGAGTTACTGGCCCCTATCAAGGAGGTAACGCGACCCTCGACATTCATCTTGAGTCTTCCCTTTCCACGAATGAAGAATAGTGTCGCTCAGAGAGAGATGCGTGACCGAGATTTCACGGTGTATGAATATACTTTGGGTGTGCATGGAGATTGGGATGGAATTGATCCATGGGACGCGCTGCATTGCACAATTCGGAGGACCAACACGTTATGAGATTATAGTCACGTTAGTCCTATGAAATGAATCTACATGACTTGGCATGCTTCTTGATGGAATACACTGTTTCCAAGCTAAATCTGTGTGAAGTGGGCTAATAAACTTTGAAGTAACAGAGTAAGGAACATTTCGGAAACGATATCACGTCTACCGGAAAGCCAATTTTGACGAAAGAAAAATGCAAAGAACCAAGATTAATGTAGTAAGTATGTTTTGATTGAGGCAAGAACGTAACCCTGCTAGTTGTTCACCAAGTGTTATATCCGTCACATGCAGATTGGGCATTGGAAACGCCAAGAGAGATGTCTTTGTCCTTGCTGAAGACAATTGCACCCCGTCAAGATTTCTTCAACGTTTGAATTCATTTCCCCTCTATTACTTTCAGCCTCTCACTTGTAAGCGCTATTCACGCATTCTTGCAAGTTGCTATAGTATGCCTAGACTTCATAATTTCTCTACTGCCTCCGCCACAAAGCCGGGCAAAATTACCAGCCCTTGTAATTATTCCAGATTCCATAGAGATATCTGTATTCGAATACATCGTGATCCGTGAATACAAACAAAATGAGTGAAAACAACCATTCTGCGAAAGGATTATGTCCAAGTCCCGTCGGCGTTCATTGTCGTTATATCATTCTGCTGCATTGCCCAGGCAATACTCCCAATCAAAGCCCACGTGTCTGAAGTGCACTTTTGGTTAGTAAACGCATAAAGTTGAATACTAAATCGAAAACTGTGACGGAAACATTACCTGCGTTGAGTTCTGGGCCCCAAGGGCCATCGGGCAAAATATCTGGGACAAGTCTTCCTGCGCCCGCTCCCGATTGGATGTTTGATATATTTAGACAATTATTCCATCCTGCCAATAATTAAGCAATCACTATTATGCCGAAAAGTTGATCTGGCGTTTCTTACCGTAAGCGGTGTCTCCGGTCGGTGTCTTAGAGTCCGTGGTGGGATAATTTCCATTTGCATGTGTTAACTAGGGGAGAGACGTAAGTAATAATACTCGAATGAACAGAATTTGGAATGGTGTCAAAACTACCTCATGAAGCAGGGTTGTATCAAACAATGCAAATGCATCTATGTCTGCGAAGCGCCCTCCCCAGTTTTGAAGTAATTTTTTTGCAAGGGTGGCAATCTTCTTCTTCCAAAAGGTTGAGGAATCGAGGCCAGTGGTCGATTTGTACTTCGCTGGTAAAGCAAAAGCGCTTCATAGTAGCATTTTAAAGTCAGCGTCCTTGATCAAGTAGACATGGGAAGGCACATTAGGAGAGACGATTTCTCGCCATCTCCATAGAAGAGCACCCACGAGACATTTCATGCAAGGCAGGTCTTGAAAAAACGTACAGAAAATATGGGCATATCTGGAGCTGAAACCATCCTCCGCTAGTCCCCTGTGTATACATTTGGGTTGGGCTAAAGGACCCAACAGTACACCCTTGGCTTCTCGAGAACTGTGTGGAATCTGAATTTCAGAGTTAAGCACAGAATGACAGCTATTAGGCGAAGATGGTTAAGAGAAAAAAGCCTACGTGGATCGTAGTAGGTTATTGGAATTCCCCACCGGCGTTGAAGTCTTGATTCATCACAATATATTATCTATCATCCCCAAAATAGTTAGAAGTTTTTTCAACAAACTCTCATCTGCAGGAGATCTCCCTGGGGTCAGACCATTTCATTGAAGAGCGCGGTCGCGGGGGTAAGACCGAGGTCTTTGTTGCCACGAAAGCGGCTCACCCCGCCAGCACCAAAGACTCCTGTTGGAATTAATGACTGATACTGTTCAAGACATACATAGACAGGCGTTACAAAAACTTACGTATTCCGAATCTGGTAGCATAATTCGGAAGTACTCCAGGATCAAATAAATAATTCAGAACGGTTTGCATCGCCGCGGCTGGGCTGCTAGATACTTGTGTGAAAGCTGCATCAGACATGTCCATCGCTTTGGTCAAAGCCGTGTCAATAAAAGCCGTCATATCTTGGGGCAAGTAAGACAAGTAATCAGCAGTCGAACTTGATAGCAGCCAGAAGTCGATCATTTGAAAAGGAATGTACCTGAAGTGCAGGACGCGTCGTAATTGTAACGGCTATTATCTCCGTTGGCAAGACTAGTCAGGCTCGCGAGAAGAGCTACAAAGCCCAGGAAGTGGAGCTCTTTCATGGTGACGAAGATATTGAAAATGTATTGAAGCAAAGAATAGGTGACAAGCTATGCTGTAAGATACGACGAGTTGCGGGAGACAGAGCAGAGTCAGGCTTCACATATAATGTGAAGTTAGCTGTGAAAAGGGAATCATTGAGGTTTTCCTAAATGAACAACGTGATGTCGAAATACGAGATTTGTATAGGTGCAAGCCTCGCGAAAGAGGATATTGCAAGGGGAGAACACCCGGGACGTTTCCGGGGCCATTTCCAAAGCGATAATACTTTCCCCAGATCCTTCAAATGCAAGCAGACGCTGACTGCATGGCCGTTCAGGTAGCATTGCTAAAGATACTATTCCCCCCTCCCCCTCTAATTACTTGTAACAGTGGGGCCAAACCCTGTTCTGAGCACTCTCAATGGCTATATCCCTTGTTTGCAAGGTCGGCACAGGCCAGCAATGCCCTAACTGTGGATCTAAATCCCTTGATGACAGCCTCAAGCGAACGAATTCTATTTAAGAAACCCTTGCTCAAGTCTTCGCTTTTGACCCACTATTACAAGTTTTTTAAGAGGGGGGGGATATTAAGAACAGGGTCAATATTGAAATTCGTGTTGGTTAGCATTCCCAAGCAAAGATGAGAATGCTTGTCTAGCTATTTGAGTAACCCTTCCTGTATTGCCAAGACGAGAACCGAAAATAGTTGTATATTGGGTTGTGTAACCTTCTAAATTGGTCGCCCGGGTAAGTTCGTAATCCGCTCGGGTCGAGCCGTGCCCCTCGCATCTCGGAAAACGGCCCTGGGTGTGCCTCGAGCATGAGCTTAGAATTATAAAGGGCGTTCACTCTAAATATCCGCTACAGGTAAGAATGTACTAGATAGTTTCTGTAACCCAACTTAGGCTTTGCCTTTAAAGTGCAATATACTATTTTCGTATTTATTACTAGGGGAGCATTAATTACAAGTTTAATATAAATAAGACTTAGAGAAAGAAATAGAAATAAGATAAGGATTTAGATATAATATAAATAAATAAATATAAATAAGTATTATTATTAAGTAATTAAAACTTGCTTTAATATATATTTTAAACAAGTTTCAGTTAGTATATAAGCTATATATTAATTTGTATATAGGCTATAAATATAGCTACTAGTATAATTTTGAGACTTGAATAATATATAGCTTTAATTATTAATATTAGCTCTTTATTAAAGAAGATAATAAAGGGAATTAATAAAGAAATAATAAGGGCTTTAAACCCTATTCTTTTAATAGTATACTACGAGAAGATTACGCACGCCAAATGATTATATGAAGGGGATTAGAGACACGATAAAGGAGCGGCAAAACAGGGAGGCTCGTGACTTCGAATGAATGGCCGATTAACCCCAAGGGGATTTCAAGATGGAAATAACTGGATCTTGGCTCCCTGAGGGCTAGGGTGGTATTGGGCCCCCTATGGGTACCCATAAATTGATACCTATATCAGGCTCATTGCACAATTCCGGCACGGAAGTGATATATGAAGGGAAGATCACGTGGCAGCTTCTTTTTCGTAACTCTTTTTCCACGGTATTCGTCAGGGGCAAGCTTGCGGTCGTCCGGCACGAGGGGAACTACTGGCTTATACTGAAGGATGGAGACTTGGGAATCCCCATTAGCACATACGATGAGTACAATAATAGCGTGGAGTTCCAACATCCAACGAGGGAGATAGCAAAAAGGGTAAGAGAGGACAGCAGATTGCCCTTTACGGTTAAGCTCGCTCCCGACTTCCCTATTATATGGGCAATACAATCTTCAACAGGAATCGCTCTACACTTGCCACTAGGGTCTATGGCTTCCAAATGGTGCGGTGGAAGCAAGGAGAAACCCCTTGAGAAAGGATGGTTGGAATACGAATGTATGCGCCAAAACATGAGGCAGGAGTGGTTTGACAGGTTGGTAGTGTTTTGTCATGACAAGGAAGAAAGTTGTCCTCTCTTCCCCTTTAGTTGTGAGTGTATTGGTACAGTGGTGTTCATGATGGAGCAAGCTATTAAGAGTAGGAGAGTGCTCGAGAGGCAAAGTGGAATAAAGAGATTGCAGATAATTTATGACAATGGCTGGAATATGGAGAAGATAGAAGCAAGTTTGGCGGCTGGCAACAATCCACGCCCCCCGCTATACGTACAAAACGGGCACATTGTCGGGTGTAGGGAACTCGACATTATCAGCCACATGCAATTTTTCCCTGAGACTACGAAGCCGCCAAAGAGGCTCGTGAATCTTCAGACCGGGGAAGTCGAGGTGTCAACCGGTCAGGACATAAATTATGCGGCTTTATTATATGTGTGGAACAATGGTAGTGTCGCTGAGAAAGTGGCTATATATCAGCGTCTCCTAAACAACAAAACAGGTAGAGAAACCACTCACCCTTGGGTGGATCAGTTATGTATAGATCAAGGCAATCCGGCAGAGATCGCCGAAGAGGTAATAAAAATGGCAAGCTACTATAGAGGAGCAAGTCGCATTATTAACCGAGTTAATTGCCAGCTAGCCAGGCAATAGCTGCTATAGCAAGGCGATAGTACTAAAAAGAGCAAGACAGAATATATGGGACGATGGGAGTATGGGACTGGCCCGCTATAATTATTAACTACAATATATACCTGCAAGGACTAATCGATAACTTAGTGTCTCAGGGGCTCATTGGCTGGGAAATAATGGCGAGTACCACTTATAGGAAAGAGGAGGGCAAGTGCTAGCTTCCGGAAAATCTGGAAGACATTGACATAATCGGTATTACTGCATTGGATGGCGTTACTGCAAAATACCGTATGGACGAGCGAGGGCTATGGGTCAGAGGTGTGAAGGCTTACATAAAAATGTCTCGTGGCAACCATGTGTTTTTGCAAATAGAGGGCATTACCAAGGAGAAATTTATCGAGGGACACGTTCCTTATGGATTTGGAAAGAAAATCAGTGTGCCCCTGCCAACCCCTGTAATACCCCTGTTTTGCTCGCATAGTATTCCTAAAACATGGGTATACGCCCAAAGGGGAAATAACAGGAGGCTAACTCTGATTAGAATGCATAAGTACCCTCTCTGGGTAAATCCTAGAACGGGTACTTATATAATTGAGAATTAGATTTCCTTCTAGCCCCCTTCCCCCGTATTTCACAAGCTAATTTTTATAATTTTATTATAAAGTAAGGCTTTCTTTTTCGGCTATTCTTTAGCCCCCGGTATGCATACAAAAGGTGGGCAAGACGTACGTTCCTCTGTCCCTTACTTATAATTGCTTAGGAAATATATTCTCAAAGATATATATATGCTTCCCGCACTTAATATATAGGTATATATGCTCCTGTAAGGCGCCGAAGGCGCCGAACGCCGTGCCTCTGGCCTCCTAAGCTCCTAGTATTAGTAGAGAATATACTTTAAATATAGATGTACTTTATATATAGATATATCCCGTATATAGATATATCCCATATATAGTTATACCCCATATGCCGTAAGGCGCCAAAGGCGCCAAACGGGGTACCCCTAGCCTATTAAGGTCCTAATATTACTAGAGAAATAAGCTTTAGAACTCCCAGAACTAGCGCTCTGTCTAGCTACTATATACGAGTCTGAATATAGTTTCTCTATAGTAGGCCCGAGGTCTGGGGCCTGGGTTTTATTAATACCGAGTAATAATAAAAAGAAAGCTATAATATTATTAGGAAATAAAGGGAAGAGGGAAATAAAAGAGAAGGAAATATAATATAGGTATTTTGGCTATATTCTTGATCTAGAAACGGACTATATAGAAGAGTTTATTCCTAATAAAATAAAGTATACCGAGTAGTATATAGGTTAGAATAATGTAACGGCGGGATTAATGCAATAGTCAAAAGCTCAAAGTTTAAAGAATCTCATATATTAGAAAATACTAAGCTATAGAACAAAGTAGGGAGAATGCCTCGATCTTTAGTATTATTCCGTCCAAGTAATTCTGGCTTAGCTTCGTTTTGTGCCTGTTTCCGATATCCTGTCCTTGGCAGATCATGCCCTTACGCCAGCCATTACATTACCCCCCTCCCCTAAAGAGAAGTCTAAATGCCCTTATTTAGGGAATTATTTAGCCACAGTATAGAAAAGAAAAAAGAGGAAACAACGGCCATTAACCCTATTCCGTCTAATCCCCATAGCTTACTTATAATTAAAGCATAGTCTTGACTCTGCCAGAATAACCTAATTCCTAATACGTTCCGGCTAGTCCTTAGTATCCGTTACTTGCATTATGCCTATATCCATATTAATAATATAGTCTGGGAATGCCATATAGGCTATAGCTAATATTAGAACTATTATTATCGGGCAGTCTTTGAATAGAAGTAGCAAATTAAGTCTATCTATTAATATAGGCTTTAATATAATAGCTTACTTGCCTTTCTTCTTAGTTAGAATAGTAGTATTTGGCTTAATTATACCGTTTTTAAGCTACTTAATTAATTTCTGGGCCTTCTCGAGCTTAATATATATATTCTTAAGTTATTTCTCTATAATAGAAACTTATATATTAAGAGCAGCTATTTAAGCTACTTTATTATTAAATTCCCGGGCCTTAAGCTATATAATTTTGGTTTTATAAGAGCTTCTAAGGGATTTTCTGACTTTTTAAATAATATTATTTACTAATTTATTAATATCTATAGGGTATTACTTTTTTAATTTGGCCTTTAGGATTATTTACTAGCTCTTAGTTTTAGACTAGTACTTTATATAATAACTACTACTTAATACTATATATCTTCTAGTTATAATAAGTATCTTAATACTAGTTTAGCTACCTTTATTATAGTTAGAGTTTCCTTTATTACTAGAAATCTTTCTATCTTTAGTCTTTTTATTATCGGAATTCTTACTATTATCTAATATCTTATATTTCTTAAATAAGCTAGTCTTACTTTTTTTTGCTTTCTTAATATTTAGCTTTATAAAGTTAATTAGATAGCCCTTATTAATACTATTTATTTCGCCTATTTAATTATTAAACTTATTATTACTAGTAACTAAAGCCTCTATTTTATTATTATTAGAATATTTTACTAAGATATTCTCTATAATAATTTCAGATATATTCTTAAGAGTAATACAGGCCATATTCTATATATTAATTTATTCTTGGATAAGAGAATTACTATTTTCGTTTATAAAAGTAATTTGGCTAGTAATTATATTAATAATAATAATAATTACTAAACTTAAGATATTATTATTATTACTTAAGTTATCCAGGATCTAGTAAGTAGCCTTATTTAGTCCAACTACTAATAATATATTACCGGGATTTCTTATCTGTTTTGCCTTTATTAATAGTTCTATTAAAGTAATAATAGTAATATAAATAATTAAGGTTATAAAAATTAAAATAATTAGAAAGGTTTCCCTTGATTTTTAATAATATTTCAAACTAATATAGGCAAGTATTTATCTTTAGCTTAGCTTTAAAAATTTACTTTTTTTTTATAATTTGCCTAGATAGTAAAATATAGCCTAGTATAATAAAGAAAAATATTTTGCCCAGATTTTTAGAAAAGAAAGTAAATACTAATATAATAAAATAAAGGAAATATACTAGGGTTTAGATAAAACTCGGAAAATATTTAGGTTTTTCTTTTTCTTCTTTAGTTATAGAGGCCTTATTATTAAGGTTTATTATTATCTGAGTAGTTTTTATTAAACTTATTCTCTTTAATATACTAAATTTATTTATTTAGCCAGATAAGAGATCCTGCTTTACTAGGATTTTACTTATAAAATTTATATAGTTTAAGTACTAAGTTCTTAAAATTTAATATAAGATATTATTTATTATCTATATTCTATTTCTTTTATTTAATCTTATAATAAAGCTTATTATAAAGTATTTTAGAAAAGAAAATCTTTTTAACTTCCTATTTAAGTTTACTATTAACTTTAGTAAAACTAGGCTTTTTATTAGTCTAGCCAGGTAATAAGTTAGTAAGATTCTTATAAAGTCTATTTATATAGAAAATTAACCAAATCCTATATAATAGGAAAAGATCTAATTAATATAAATAACTAACTATTTTATTAATCTTAAATAGTCTAATAAGAAAGTAGTCTAATTTATTAGATAAATAGTCCGTTTTCTATATCTTTTTAATTATATAAACTATATTTCCTGGACTAAAGTCTAGTTCTTACTATTTCTTATTAGCTTATTTAGCTTAATATTCCTAAGCTACTACTATATATTCTCGGGTATAATTAATAATAGTATTAATTCTCTTAGCTTATTATTATATTTCTTCCTAATTAAGTTTCTTTCTCGGTATTTTAAATTCTATTATTAGTAATATCTAGTTAAAGTTTAGCCTGAGTTTATATCTATAGTTAATTATTAAGGGAAATAAGCTAATTAATTTATATGAGCAAGTAATGCCTATAATATTAAATACTAGAAGTAAATCTACCTAATTATTCTAGAAATAATTAATAAAGAAATAAAGTCAAATATTAATAATCTAGTTAATAATTTCTATTTATCTATTAGTTTAAATATATTCTATAGTTAAGAGCTTTAGTTTAGTTCTAGTTAATCTTAATAATTTATTTATAAAGTCTAAAATAAATTAGGGTCCTTAATTACTTATAATAGTAAGAAAAAATCCTCGGAATTACCAGATATAATAGTAAAATAGGCTAGTAGTAATTCTAGCTATAGTATTCTTAATTATTAATAGGCTTATATATTATTTAGATAATTAATTAACTATAATAAATATATTATTATATCCCTTATTTATAGAACCAGGAATATAAAAGTCTATAAATAAATTATCTCATATTTTTAGGGGAACTAGTAATAAATATAATAGACCTAGTATTTTATCTCTTAGCTTATAAAACCTTTAATATTTATAATAGTTTACTATAAAGTAGTTAATATTTATAAAAAGAATAAGTTACTAGTAAAGTCTCTAAACTAGGATTTTTGTCTTATTTTAACCGGGATATATAATAGTTATTATATTATGAATTTATTATAGGAGCCTAGTTTATAGATTATTATATTTATCTAATATAATAAGTCTTTTATTATAAAGTATATAGCTATTTAATATTTCCTATAAATTTATATTCTTCTGGGCTTTCTTATATTTATTTTCTAGAACTAGGTTCGTCTAATTAGCTTATAAGACTTTAATTATAACTAATAGCTTATTTATTTCTTTTATCTTAGTAAGAATATAAGCTATATCTTTTATTTTAGTAGAAATAAGAATTAGATCTAATAGAATAACTTATCTAGTTCTCTTAGCCTCCTTAGCCTATTTCTAGGTTAGTATAAGCTTATTTTTTCGGGATAAAATATTAGTAATAATATTATTTTTACCTAGCTAATAAGTAATCTAGTAATAGAATTATAATAAGAAACTTATCTATTAGATTTATTATTTATTTAAGGGCCTCTTAGTACCGAAATACTTAAAAGCTTTATAGTTAGTAATAATTAGAAAATTAGGCAAGCTAATTAGTTCTGCCTACTATT